GGCAGTGTGGAGCTTCCCTCCCCCCCACCCCACAGCCTCAGCTGGCCCCAATTCCCTTCTCTCCTCTCCATGCCACTTCTGCCACCCACAATCTCAGGTGCCCACCACCCTTCTTCCCATCTCCCCTCACCCCCAATAGTCTCTCCCCCTCTGCCTTTCCCCCAGCCCCCCAATCCTACCTTTGCTCAACACCAGCAGGCTCCATCTCTGCTGCAGCCCAGGATACGGAGCATGGCTCCAGCCTAGCCCCATAGCTGCAGCATGGAGCCAGCACTGCTGTTCCAGCCTGGCCCTGTAGCAGTGGCAGAAGCCAACACTGCTGCTACAGGGCCAGGATGGAACCGCAATGCCAGCTCTGTGCAGTACCTAGAGGGCCTGGCTGGAGCCATGCTCTGTGCCCCCAGCTACAGCAGGGTCAGAGCCTTCCAGGGCAAAGCAAGGTAAGGAGGAGTGCTGCAGAGGGGGAGAGAGAGGGAGAAGTGGTGTGGGGGGTCTATACACTGGGGACTGCAGGGAAGGAGTGGCAGAGCATGCAGAGGCCGTTGGGGGCGGGGAGGGGGAGCAGAAGCTGTGGCTCTGGCTTGGGTTGGGGCTGGAGCCAGAACCAAATTCAGGGCCATAGCTACAGCAGCCGCCTGCCCCCCACCTACCACACCTGCTGCCTCATACTCAACTACATGACAAAGGGCTCTCCCCCATGTTAAATGGGGGGACCTCATCTTCTAATTGAGTAAATACAGCAATAATTAATAGTAGTGACAGAAATGCACTGATTACACAGCAGGCACTATATAGGTAGACATGGATCTGCAGTTACTGCAATTGTTGACAGGTACTAAATAGATACCCATGTAATAGCCCCTAGACATGGTTGTATCATCAGTCAGATATAGACTATAAACACAAGATACTGAAATAAGCATACTGCTTATAAAGAGAAATAAGCTGGGTACTACCACATTAACTACAGTTTCAGCTATACTTAGGTTTTTTTGATTTAATAATGGCAGCCTTAAACTTGGATTGATATAGACTTGGTGCAGGATATAAACATCCACAAATATTTTTCTTATCCTTGGGAAAGGGTTTTCCAAAAGGATAAACATGCAAGGTTAGCCACCAAAGTGATCACACCACAGATCAACATTTAACCAATTGCGTTATAATCTCAGTTTAGTGACCCAATAAGCCTTCTGACATACTGGCCATGTCTACACAAGATGCTAACTGCACAGTTGTTAATGTGCAGTCATTTAGTACTTGCATACCTAAGTATTAAATGACTACGCAGTAACTAGTGTTACTGCACAGTAGCATCCTCGCACAGCTTCCTGGTGACACTGACTGCACAGTTGCTCCTTACTATTGTGCAGTTGTGTCATGTCACGGTTTGTGCCCTGTGATGTTACTGCACAGTACTAATGAGTAACAAACTCACATAGACATGGCCACTGTGTAGTCTTTCTGCTTACAGATGTGGCGGAGGATATTTTTAATTTGGCACAAAAACAGCTGCAGAACATAACATGAATTGCACCATGTCAGCTTTAGTGGTTGTCCTGCTAGGTAAAATATTTGGGATGTCCCTAAGAGAACCAAACTTTTTGAGCATTCACTTGACCACATTCAGTGAAAGTTTCAAAATAGAACTCTCTGTGGAAGCAAAACCATTCAAAAGGGATCAGGAAGAGGATAGGGCATGTTTAATGTGTTTTGTAGAGTGTGTAAACCCTTAATAAAAGGTATTAAGTGGCCTCCCACAAAGTAAACCTTCCATTAGGGCTGATTTTTTTTTCCCAAATCCCAGGAGTCTTCTAAAACCATCTCACTTACGCTTAGGTAATCATCAAGTTAAATGCACTTCCATTTAGAGAAGCTAAACAAAGTCACTCCCACTGCCCTATAATGTGGAGAAGACTTGGGTGGTATTTTGCACATATAATATTCTATCACCATTCATCCAATTATCTTGACATATGCTGCTAATAGTAACCAACAGTGGCAAGAGACTGCCACTGAGCTATCTGGGAGAAGATAAGTGATTTGCCAAACTGCCAACAAATCAGTGAAAGAACCAAGAACAAAATCCATGTTCCCCAACTTTCAAATTATTGCTCTAGCTTGGTATACAACACTGCCTTCTCAGATAGCCAGCAGGTAAGCCTTCCTGCTTTAATGGAATCTTGTTAATATTACTCTGTAGCATGAAGATCTACTGAATTTAGTGCTGGGAGTACTGCGCTCCTGGAATGACCCTCTGCTCCACCTGGTAACTGAAGTGCAAAGAATCAAAGAAGCTCCAAACACCATCCTCTGGAAAGCAGCAGAGATTGAGGAGCAAAACAAGCGTCTTCTGGAAGGAATGGAAAAAATAGTTGGACGGGTGAGTATTAGGACTTGAGGAAGATCCATCTTCTCTCAGGAAAGTTTGACTAGCTGTACACTCCTGAAGAACCCCAGTATCCCAGTGCTCCATTCTCCCTCTGTCCCCACAAAGGGGAGGGGAGGAGAATAATAACTCCCTGACAGCCTACCCAGCAGTGAGCTGGGAGAGAGCCCTGCGAGAACTCTGCTGCATTCTTCCACTGCTGCACTCATCCAGAACTTGAATAGGTCCTGCTGTGCTGTCTCATGGGCCAAGAGCTGTGTGTGGGGCACGAGGCAGAGGCAGCCTAGCTACCTCCAGCTCATGCCCACATGGTACCAGATGGAGACGGCTAGAGACAGCCACCGGGATGGAGGGAAGCAAAGGAGAATCTTCCTATCACCCCATGACTAGAGGGTTCACATCTTGGAGGCAAATTTGTTTGTCTCCAGAAAGAGGACTGGAATGCTTATATACTCCCCCTCTCACCACATAATCCAGCTCTGCAGATTGTGGGGAAATTTGCAGTGCTGGAACTGAATGCTTGTCCCTAGCCTCTGTGTGTCTCTATGTGTGTGCATGTGTGCATGCACGTGTATGTATGTGTGTAGCCTGTATAGCATTTCTTAAGGTATGGACAAACATACATTGGAGTAGTTTCAAAAGGGGAAGGGATGGACTGTTCCTCCTGACAGCACATAAATTGTTACATTCAAACAGCGACCTGTGCATAAACTGGGAGTGAAACAGAACTGCTCCAACCATAACACTGCTTCGTATGGGATTAAAGTTGGAGCAGTTTTGCCACATCTGCATCGCTCCCAGTTTACACACATGTCATTGTTAGAATGTAACAGCAGCTGTGCACTTCCAGCAGTTGCTCCAGACCCATCTTGAACCAGTTCCAAGGACATTGGCCTATGCCCTTATAGATTTCCAAGCCAGATTCTATTCTGAACACTAGGCTGCTCTGAAGTCACCGATTCTTCGATAATAATCATGGACTCTTTCATAGCAGAGTTGACCCTTTCCCCTTCCTGCCTCTGGTTCCCTAGAACTGTTGGGATGTCTATCAAGCCCAGTTACCCCTAGTTTGGGAAAGTTAGCCAACAATGCTGTAGTCTGACAGGGTCTGTATAAGAACACCCCTTGTTATCAGTAACTGATTGAAAGTTTTCCTGAGTAAAAGCAGTTCTAGCTTGTTTATGTTTAATGGAGCCTCTGACAGGTCCTATAAATCATTCTGTCACTGATCTGGACATTAGAAAGAGTTTCCGACTTGACTGGCTTTTGCTTAAGCTCTGAATGGTTGAACAGCCTCAAGAGTGACACGACTGTCTCCACCACTTTCCAATGAATCACACACAAACATAGTTTTAGAATCTATTTACTCTGTCCATGCTCTGTCTCCCAACAGCATCTGTCAGTGTAATCAGAGAGATTTCCATCCCATATGCAGGTGAAAAGTCTAGCAGAAAGGAATCCAAGATACCAGTAGAAGTCAAATTGCTGCTGAAGTTATCTTCTCACCTGCATTATTTAGGAAAGGAGACTGAAAACAGGATTGGCAAGATGATGAAAGTCAAGCCATAGTTTTTGAGTGTAGCATAACTACTGCAGTTTAACCAATAGCTTGACCTGATCAAGATGAACGTTGACTTTCTTGGTTGCTTGAAGTTCCCCAACTGGCTTTTGCACACCATGAGGGGGATACATCAGCTTCAGAAATGCTGATAAGAGCAGACTATCTTCTTCCTACTAGGGGTACTTTTTCTTGACATGAGAAAATGGAAGAAGGTCTCATCCAAATGCAGTGAGTCAAGTCAATCTTTATTTTAGACACTCACTAACTGCATGAGTTTTTATTCATGAGTTTCTAACCTCTGATTGCACTGAATCACTTACACTTTCCCCCTCATGTCATATTGAAACCCTTTGTTGAAGTGGTCCCTTGTATCTAGATGTGCACTTGACATCTGTCTCTAATGTGTTCCTAAGGTTATTCCTATTAGAGATGTTATCAGAGAGGTGGGTTGAGACAACATGGGAGGACACACTCAAGAAATCCTAAGATCAGGTGTTCTATCCAGCCATGATTTAGAAATACATGAAAAACTCCCACTGGTGAGTGTGCACATGATGGAAAAGAGTGACTTCTCCACAAAGCCAGATTCTATGAGCCTAAAAAATGTATTTATTAGAACAGGTAAGCTCCTTATATACTCTAGTGAAAAGAGATTATTCTCTCAGAATCATCTTAAAGGTCCATAGCATTACCAGGGTGTTTCTTGGAGCCATAACAGAAACCAAGCATGGGGCATTTATAGACAACCTCCAGGAGGCAGGGGCTCTTTTATTAGTGAGCCATGCTAATTAAAAACAGAACAATTGTCACATGTATCAGCATCCCTGCACTGAAAAAATGGCAGCATGTTTTGAACTAAAGCTTTAGTTCAAAATGCTCTGCCGTCATTTTTCAGTGCAGCAATGCTGATACACGATGCTGGAGGCTGCTGGAGCATGGAAATTTATGCTCCAACCCACTGGATTTACAGCACACTGGAGCAGCCTCCCTGCAAGTCTGTAAGTGCCCACGGTGCCCATGGTAAGATAATCAGAAAGCACGGCCAACAACACTATTTCTTGTTTCTTAGTGTGCTGTCCTATTTTAGTCAGATTTGCTAATTTTTGCTGCTTACATCTAATAGAGCTGTCAATGGAATAATAACTTTGTTTCCTTTTGGTTAGGTTCAACCTGGTGACACAGGAAATGAAGTCTACTCAAGGTGGTCAGGGCTACCATCCCTGCAACTGGCTGATGAAGACTCCCGCCTCTTTGCCTTTTACAACCTGCTGCACTGCCTCCGAAGAGATTCCCATAAAATTGACAACTACCTGAAGCTCCTGAAGTGTCGCCTTATCCATGACAGTAACTGCTAAGTATTTGTCTGGGCCCATCCATCACAGGAATAATGGCCCCAAGTCATTCAGAGGGGTCTTCTTGTTGCTTTTCTACTTTCCATTGCAAACTTTATAGAAAAATGCATCTCACTGTATCAAGAACATCCATAATTCTTGTTTGTGCTTATGTAGTTTCTGGCCAAAACCAAAGATGTTGTTTATCTCCATGTTTAAAAGCTTGTAACAAATTATCTGTGCTGGAAGAAAACATTTGAGCTATCTCAGCTACCGGCATCTCAGTGGTAACCAAATAATGCAAATACAAATAAAATTATTATTAAAACCAATGAGCATAAATATGTGCGTTGTATCAGTGCAGACAAATGGCTGCTCTGTCTTACATCAGGACTGTACAACTGGCAGTCTGTGGGCTGTGTGTGGCCTGCAAACAGTTAACTTGTAGCCCAAAGGTCCTGGCCTAAGCAGTACTTGCTCCTGCTGCTGTTGCAACCAGGATCTCTGGTTTTGCTCCCTGCTCCAGCTTCAGCACCCCAGGGGGAGAGGGGGTAGGAGGGGGCAACACAGCCCACAGGCCCAGGGATACCATGGTCTATGGGTCTGGGGAGTTCAGAAGTCCCACACAGCATGCAGCTCCCAACCTCTCAGAAGTTGGACAGGTTTTCCTTACCTCTTCTGCAATGGCAGCCACAGGAATTTTTCCTTCTTGTCTCTGTCTCCAGTTGCTGATGTACAATATGGGCCTTCGAGCTCCCTCTCCCCTCCCTCCCCATGTTTCCTACCCCCCATTCCTAAAAATAAATTACAGAGGGCCACTATCAGGAGCAATAATATTCTACTGCTTCTGTTTCTCCTATTTCACAAACATTACTCTCTCAACAGTTACAACCTTTCTAAAATAGGAATCATGTGAATCATAAAAAAGTAGGGATGAAAGAGACTGCATCTAGTCCAGCCACCCTGCTTAAGGCTGGATCATTCCTGATTAAACCATCCCACCCAGATCCTTCTCTGGCCTTCAGGCCTACCCAATCATTCCCCATCTGTATTTGAGCATGAGGTTATTCCATCCCCAGTACAGGACTTAAGTTTGTCTATGCTGAATCTTTTCTGATTGATTGTGGACCATTTCTCCAGTCTATCCAAGAATGCATTTTATAAATAGGCGAACAAAATCTGAAAGAAGTACAAGGGACACATTATCTTTGCTAATTTGGGGAGCCTTACTATTTTTGGGCACACAGCTTGAGACACTTACGTTGAAAACCCAGTAACTGAAGCATCATCCAAAAGTATTAGGCACTTTTGAAAATCTGGTCTTCAGGCCACACAGCAAAACATCTGAGGTAACAGGATTAAAATTTACTCTCCTCGCTACTAGGAACATAGTTATTTGATTAAACCAAGGGTGTTCAACCTCCAACCCATGGGACAAATGCAGCCCATGGAGTCCTGAAATCCAGCCCACAGGGCTCCCCTCTGTTCAGGAAACCTGGTGGCAGGGGAGCAGTGGCAGTACTGCCACCACTCCCCACTGCCAAAATCCCAAGTTCTATGGAGCAGATCAGTGCTGGACCACAACCCTCCTACCCCACAGCCAGATCAAGGCCAGGCCATGGCCCCTTCCTTCCAAAGGCTGCACACCCTTTTCACTGCAGAGCCAGATAATACACTCTCCTCCTGGCCATCTGATTCAGGGCCAACTCACACCCACTTCTCCCCCAACGCCCCACAGGGCTGGGTCCTGTCCCCTTCCCTCTGCCCAGCAAGGTTGGACCCAGGACATACCCCTTCCTCCACATGGCTGGATTGGAACTGGGCCAAGTCCCCTTTCCCTGCACAGGTGGAATGGGGCTGGGCTGCCCCACTCCCCACTCAGTGTGGCTAGATGGGGCCGCACCGCACCTAACCTTGGACACCAGTTTGAGTCCACCAGCTGGATCCAACCTGTGGAAGAACTTCCCATATGGCCTCCTGGCCAAAAAAGTTCAGCACCACTGAATTAGACTATAGTGTCTGCCAGAGAAGCCACTCCATCCCTCCATATTTCATTTTAATAGTTTGTATTAAAAGGGTATAACAATACTTGCCTACCTAAACTTCATGTGCTCTGATCATTTTTAAATCTTCTCTCGTAGAAGGTATGAATTAACCCCACACTATAGATCAAATGAAGTGTAGAGCAACATAATTCCTTCTAAAGCAATCACTGTTTACAGCTGCCATAAAAAGCACCCGGACTTATAGAAAATCAAGAGTGGATGCAACAGCCTTTTAACAGCCCACAGTTATATACCACAGTACATAAAGACCAGAAGCAAATACAGTAGGTAACATTGAGTAGGTAGAATGTACACGCCCAAACAAGAATTTCATTTAGTTACTAGAACTAAAACTTCTTCTCTTGTTAAAAGTGCCCAAAGAATTAAAAATAAATTATCAGGAATTCTTAGCATTAGCTTGAAATTTCCTCTGAAAGAAAGCATTACTGGCTCAGGGGTAAAGAATATAGCTGTCTGCAAAAATACCACCTCAATATCTCCCATCCATGTACTGATCAACCCTCACAATAATTAACTTGTCTTTTATCTTAAAACCCAAACCCAAACTAGTATAGACAATGGCTCACATGGTGTTAGAATTCAATAAAAATTAGGCTACAAAGAATGAACAGTTATAATTCTAGACTGTTATATGAATAGATCTACAATAATGAGCTTCCTCACTCTACTAAATACTCAGATAGATGTGATTAATCCATATATAGAACAAGCTAATAGCTTTAGAAGTGCAGTCTTTAAACTTCCCAAAAACAATAGTTTTAAAAATGTATGTGTCTGCTTTATTGTAACTTAGTTTAGTATGGGTCTGAAGTTTTGGAAGGAAGGGTAATTTTTTGTTAGTTTGTTTTTATTTTAAAGAGAAGCTCAAGAACAAACCACAAAAAAGGGATTTTATCAACTGGAAATTTCTCTGGTTTATCAGATTCTGGGTTTCTCTCTCTATGACAATTGTGATGACTCAGTATGTCAACCAGATCTGGTTACAATGCACCTCCCCTCCCCCCTTCCGCCCACTTTTCAAAAAAAAAAGTCTGAGCATCTTTAAATCCTATTAAGATGAATCAAGGTCTTCAAGTGCTGCTCACGAGAGGTGTTCTGGATCTTGGCCCATTTTCCCTATCTATACAGCGAGGACAATACTATCTTATAACAGTATTGTGAAAGGGTTTGTAAAACTTGCAGCAAGTACAATATAACTTGGTATAAAACGAATGCATAAACCCTTCCTAGTTTTACCTAATTTTATAAGTATCTATATAATAGATCGAGCAGAGCACAGCAGTGGAATTAGGAACTTTCATGCTCTGCTTCCATCTCTTCCACTGACTCATCAGGGTCTGTCTTTGGGCAAGTCTCCTGAGCAGTACATACTGTTGGCTCCCAATATGAAAGACAGAGTCAATGTTGCTTATCCCCCCTGTCTGAAGTGTTCTGCAAACTTTGGGTGAAAAGTACTATCAGTATACACAAGTGCAAAAATATTAGTTTTACTACACTGAGTTTAGATATTAGATAGTATTGACAGGGGGCTGTTATGGCATACCATGCACTTTCTTTTATAAAGAAAGATGACAAATCAGTTAATGAGAATTTTATTTCCTGTTCTTAACTTTCGGCTACCCCTGATTTGCAGCTCTTGAAATGGCTATTTTTCTGGCTTTGTTCAGAGACTTTGTATTAAACATGGATACATTTTAATCTGTGCTGATTTACATTTTGCGTTTGTTTTAGCTGGCTCAGAATCCAGTAACAGTAGCGACAGAGATGAAGAGCCTGCTTCCAGCAACATGGACCCAATTCTGTTTTCCTTCCAGTCAGTGACAAAGCTCCTATAGATTGCCACGACTTTAGGATAAGACAGAGTGAAGTAACACTGATTCATCCTTGGTTCATTCCACTGTGGAGAGCAACACAGTGGCATGTGTAAAAAGAGAAAAAATTTAACCCGCCTATTTTGATTTGCATTTAATGTAACATTACTCACCAGGCCCAGCTTTAACAATGGAAAGGAAAAGCTATTACAGACAGTGAATGCCAAGTACAATCAACTGTTAGCTACTGATGTGGTAACCTCTCTGCCATCCTCCACTTTCTTTTCTCTGAGTTCTTACATTAAGCTCCCAACAACTGTTGGATGCTCTCAATTACACCTAGAAAGAGAGAGAGAGACTTTAACCAGTTGTATTCCAGTCTTCAGTATAGTAACAATAGCTTTTCAAAAATTGTTCCAAATGTGACACACAAGTTTTAGTAACAAAAACTGAGGCTGGAGGCAAGCACAACTTTCTGAAATTCTAGGTTCACTTTTAAAAAACATGTCATTTTCTCCAATAATTTAGAGTTATATTTTCAAACATGAGTTCCTACAGAAGAAAAAAGGGCATAGGACAAATAAAAGGAGTAATTCCCAGATGTAAACGGGGCTATTTCATGCTCATCTGTACATTTGCACATAATTAGGCCCCAGACTTCAAACACCTCTGCATGTGAATAGCTTTATGGAAATGCATAGTGGCACTGCACTCAATGGGATAGCTCATGTCTGTTAAATTGCTCACATGCAGAAATGTTTTAAAGATCAAAGACTGTGCTTGCATATTTTTGTGGGTGCATCTTAAATGACTGCAGTTGGCATTTGAGATTCAATGAAACCTGAGACTAAATATCCACAAATGATTTTTTATTGAAATACTAAAGTACCTAGAATTAAAGCGCTTAGAATTTCTTAAGTTTCGTGATCTGGCATTCTGCAAATCCGCATTCAGATATGAATATATTTCAAATAGATCTCAGATTGTGAACCTAATGAGAACTGTATCCACAGATAGCACTTTCATACATGTATTTATTTAAAACAATATAAAGAAACTAGCTAAATATAGTCACTAGTAAATACTAGATAAAACCAGTGGACCCACATGTATTTTTATGTATATTTTTAAGCAATTCTGAACTAGT